AAAAAGAAAAAAGCCAGAAGTGGTGCTGTGGCTCAAGTGGTAGAATGCTAGCCTTGAGCTGAAGAGCTGAGGGACAGCGCCTAGGCCCAGAGTTCAGGCCCCATGACCGGACCCAAAAAAAAAAAAAAACAAACCAAAACTAAAAAGGTTTTGTATACAAGGGTGCAGTCAATAATAAATATCACCTAATAAGTGGGAGAAAATACTTGTAAATCATATGTCTGAGAAGGGGTTAATATCCAAAGTAGTTAAGGAACTCAATAGCAAGAAAACAAGTAATTTGACTTAAAAATGGCCCCAAAAAACCTGAGTAGGAATTTTTCCAAAGAAGATAGATAGGCAAACTGCTGACATGTATATAAGGTATTCAGTATTACTAATCATCAGTATTCACATGTTCACATGAATTAAAATGGCCATGTAAGCTTGAGTGTTCATCAGTAGAAAAGTAATGAATTTATGGTGTGTATACATAATATGTGCACAATGAAATATTCCACCCTAAAAGTGAGAGAAATCCCACTGTCTGTGACAATATAGATGAATGTAGAGAACACTATAATATGTAAAATTGGCCAGATACTCTCAAAACCATCCGCCGGTGGCTCACACCTGTAATCCTAGCTACTAAAGAGACTGAGATCTGAGGATTACAGTTCAAAGCCAGCCTGGGCAGGAAAGCCTATGAGACTCTTATCTCCAATTAACCACCAGAAAACTGGAAGTGACACTGTGGCTCAAGTGGTAGAGCACTCATCTTGAGTTGAAGAGCTCAGGGCAGTGCCCAGATCCAGAGTTCAAACCCCACGACTAACAACAAAAAAAAGCTCATTTGCATGTTGAATCTAAAAGTATCAAATTTGTAGAAGAGAGTAGATGGGTGGTTGCCAGGGAGTATAAACTTTCAGTAGTAAGATGAGAAAATTGAGCAAAATAAAAGAAAAAAGTCATGACAAAACAGCAGCTAAAACTGTGTGCCACACATTGAACCAAGAGCCATATTACTTGGATTGTTGCGTTTAATTCTTAAATCTATGATCATTATCAACTTTTAAAAATAAAGAGAACTGATTGTTTTACAGAGAGAAATTTGGGTGGTTGAACATAGTAAAATGTTTAATTTTACTAGTAATTACAATAAATCTTCAGGTTGATATCAGCAAAAGCAGTGGTATCGTGCCAATTCATCCTTAAGTGTTAGAAATGTGGTTTGTACATTCCTGGCAAAATATAGCTATATTGTTTTTTTGGTTGTTTTTTTTAGGAAGCCCAATTATTCCGCTGTTCTTTTTTTTTTTAATCTTTTTACAATGTTTTATTGTACATGAAGAGGCTGCTAAGTAGGAAAATATCTTTAAGTGTACAAATACCCATGAAGGAAATATGCATAAACACAAATCAACTCCTCCTCCCAAGAAATCTACAAAGGCACCACAAACTGAAGATTCTATTTCCCTTAACTCTAACGGTCTGAAATCTATCCGTTGGCATTACAAAACAGCCAAAAAGGAATGGATGACATGATTTCCAAAGGTTGCAAAATAGCATAAGAATCTCTTGAATCCTAACTTGATCACACAGAGCTGCTTCTAAAATTCTAGGGATTGACTTATGGATAGTTTTTTCTTCAAACAAACCAATACACAAGCACTACTGTCATAGGACCTAGGATTAGGAGCACATGGGAAAGAGAACTAAAAAAAAATCTAACTTATTTTAAATTGTTTACTATAGAGACAAAATAAACAAAAACTCCAAATAGAAATTAAGAAGTAAAGTAAAAAGCTGAAAATATAATACAAGCCTTTATATTATAGTACATATAATTACATAATTTATTAAAATTAATATAATCAGGGTTGTTTTTTGTTTTGTTTTGTTTTGTTTTTGTCAGTCGTGGGGCCTGAATTCTGGGCCTGGGCGCTGTCCCTCAGCTCTTCAGCTCAAGGCTAGCACTCTACCACTTGAGCCATAGCCCCTTATGTGATGCTGAGGAATCGAACCCAGGGCCTCAGGCATGCAAGGCAAGCGCTCTACCACTGAGCCACCTTCGCAGCCCCTTTTTTTTAATTAATAAGTTTTTTTTTATTGTGAAAATCCACTTCCCGTTTTCTAGTGGTTTATTGGAGATAAGAGTCTCACAGGCTTTCCTGCTGGGGCTGGTTTTGAACCGTGATCCTCAAATCTCAGACTCCTGAGTAGCTAGGATTATAGGCAGGAGCCATCAACACCTGGCTCTAGTTAGCTTTTTTAAAGTATAAAACAAAATCATACACAAAGATCTTGGTCAAGCCAGGCACCAGTGGCTTATGCCTATAATCCTAGCTACTCAGGAGGCTGAGATCTGAGGATTGCAGTTTGAAGCCAATCTATGCAGAAAATTCCTCTGAGACTTGTATCTCCAATTAACTTCTAAAAAACTGGAAGTGGTATTGTGGCTCAAAATGGTAGAGAAGCAATCTTGAGCAAAAGAGCTGAAAGACAGCACCCAAGCCTTGAGTTCAAGCCCCACAGCGCTCTCTCTCTCTCTCTCTCTCTCTCTCTCTCTCTCTCTCTCTCACTCACTCTCTCATTCTCTCACTCACACACACACACACACACACAAAGATCTTGACTACATTTATATATAAGGGAAGCAGAAAGGAAGACATCAATATCACAGTGTTACCAGTGATTATTGTTAGTGGCAGATTCAGGGGTGATTTAATTTTAAAAAATTTTTTGTATATTTTGCTATTTTTCTCCAAAAATTAGGGGTGTGTTGTTTTCTTATCAGGAAAAACAATCGAATATATATAAATTGCAAAGGCAGCAGCCAGCCTCAAATGGGTTTTGAGAAGACATTCTACTGATGTACTTGTGTGCACCATAAATGAGACAGAAAAGGAAAATAACAGGAAAACTGTGAGCTCAACTTCACTGCTTTTGCTGTTTGGTTCTATTAGAATTTTAAGTAAAATGAATATTCTTGAGCAAGTTAATCTTGAACTTAAGGTAATCTAAAATATTTTTTTCTTATAGGATGACAAATGGGAAAAGAAATGCCAGAAGATCTTTTCATTTGCTCACCAGACTATCAGTGCTTTAATTAAAGCAGAGCTGGCAGAATTACCTCTAAGACTTTTTCTTCAAGGAGCACTAGCTGCTGGAGAAATTGGTTTTGAAAATCATGAAACAGTAGCATATGAATTTATGTCACAGGTGAGGATCTGCTCTCCTTTCCAAGAGTCCCTTGTTTATAGTTGCTATGGTAATATATATGGTTTTAATCTTTTACTTCCTGATGGGATAACTATTGATTTCTCACCATCTTAGGACCTCTTCATATTATCCTTCTATTTCTTGCACTAATCTGCAGAGCTTCTGCATGGCAAAGGACGTAGCTAGCAAGGTAAATAGCCTATAGATTGGGAGAAGATCTTCACCAGCTATACAACAGACCGGGGCCTTATATCTAAAATATACTTAGAGCTCAAAAAGATAACTGACCCCACCCCCCCTAAGTCGGGCACCGGTGGCGCATGCCTATAATCCTAATCAGGAGGCTGAGGTCTGAGGATGGCAGTTCAAAGCCAGCCTTGGCAGGAAAGTCCATAAGACTCTTAGCTTCAATAAACCTCCAGATGGGCTGGGAAGGTGGCTCAGTGGTAGCGCGCTTGCCTTGCATTCGTGAAGCCTTGGGTTCGATTCCTCAGCACCACCTAAGCAGAAGAAAGCCATTAGTGGTGCTGTGGCTCAAGTGGTTGAGTGCTATCCTTGAGCTGAAGAGCTGAAAGAGAGCACCCAGGCCCAGAGTTCAAGCCCCAGGACTGACAAAAAATAAAAATAAACCACCAGAAAACCTGAAGTGGCGCTGTAGTTCAAGTGGTAGAGGGCTAGCCTTGAGCTGAAGAGCTGAGAGATACAGCCCAGGCCAAGTTCAAGCCTCATGACCAACAACAACAACAAAAAAGTACCCTTTCCCCTCCAAAACAAATCCTCAAAGAAACAACCACCACATTAATAAGAGACTTCTCTGAAGAGGATATAAAAATGGCCAATATACACATGAAGAAATTTGCAATATCTCTGGCCATAAAAAAAATGCAAATCAGGGGCTGGGGGTTTAGCCAGCGTGCACAAGGCCCTGGGTTCGGTCCTCAGCTCTGGAAAAAAAAAAAAAGGAGAAATGCAAATCAAAACGACATTGAGATTCTACTTCGTCCCAGTTAGAATGGCCATTTTCAAGAAAACAGATGTGGGGCTGGGAAGGTGGCTCAGAGGTAGAGTGCTTGCCTTGCATGCCTGAGGCCCTGGGTTCGATTCTTCAGCACCACATAAGCAAAAAGAAAAAAGCTGGAAGTGGGGCTGTGGCTCAAGTGGTAGAGTGCTAGCCTTGAGCTGAAGAGCTGAGGGACAGCGCCCAGGCCCAGAGTTCAGGCCCCACGACCGGACCCCCCCCCCCAAAAAAAAAAAAAAAGAAAACAACAGATACTGGTGGGAATGTGGCCAAAAGGGAACGCTACTACACTGTTGATGGGAATGTAAGCTGCTTGAGCCAGTCTGGAAAGCTGTATGGAATTTTCTCAAAAGACTAAACAGAGCTACCTGTGACCCAACACTCCCACTCCTAGACATTTACTCAGATGATCACAAACAAGGCTACACTAAAGCTACTAGCACAACCATGTTCATTGTAGCATTATTTGCCACAGCTAAGATATGGAATCAACCCAGATGCCCCTCATAGAGAATGGATGTGGTATATAAGCACAGTGGAATTCAGTGCTTCCGTCAGAAAGAATGACATCGCTCCTTTTGTAAGGAGAGGGAAAAACTTGGGAAAAATCATTTAAGTAAAGTTAGTCAGCTCCAAAGAAACATAGGCTCCATGGTTTCCCTCATTTGTAATAGTTAGTTTAGGATAGTGTAGCATAGGTTCACAGTAGTCCAGTAACTATGTACATATGACCATATAAAATAATGCTAATCGAAATGGTCTCCATGATATGGAAATGGGATTTTTGTTGTGGTGGTTTTGTGGGGGTTTTTCCCTCCTTTTTTTTTTTTTTTTTTTTAGTGTACTGTTTGCAGTTATTTCTTTTGTCTTTCTTTTTTTCTCTTCTGGTTTTTTCCCTGTGGTCACTGTTTTCTGATTTCATACTCTTTATCTTGGACACATAAATTGACATGTTGAAATCCTTTTGCACAACTATTTTGAGATCATAAAATTATTTTTTAAAAAAGAAAAAATAACCCTCACAAGAAAAAAAAGAATTTTGGAAAATGCTCGACTTGAAGAATCTTTTGCTTTGTTTTAACTAGGCATTTTCTGTGTATGAAGATGAAATCAGTGATTCAAAAGCACAGCTGGCTGCCATAACTTTGATCATTGGTACTTTTGAGAGGATGAAGTGCTTCAGTGAAGAGAATCATGAACCATTGAGGACTCAGTGTGCACTCGCTGCATCCAAACTTCTGAAAAAACCTGATCAGGGCCGAGCTGTGAGCACTTGTGCACATCTTTTCTGGTCTGGCAGAAACACAGATAAAAATGGGGAGGAGGTAAGGTCATTACCAATTGCAGAATTGTTTGCTGGGAAATCATGCTCTGGAGTGAAATATTTGAGGTACTTAGAAATTGGATGAAGTTATTTGCTTTGTTTTGTTAAAAGAAGTGACTAGAGAATAATGTGTGGAGCATCTTCCTGTGGTAAAGCTCCCATTTTGTAATCTCGAGCCAAAAAGGGCACATAATGCGCTCACTTGAAGTGATCAAGTGAAAGTTCTATGTTTGCTGAAAGGCAGCATATTTTTAGTGGAAGTTAGGAAGCATTATGGGAAAAATGGACCTACAAATATCCGAAGTCTGGCACAGAACTCTATGTCCTGAGCATGCTCAGTGGCAGACTTCTGAGATCTTAAGATGCTAAGGGTCAACTTTATCCTTTTGCTTTTTTAAAAGGAAGAATGCACAGTATCTTGGAAGCTGATGAAAAAGTCCTGTAGCATTGTGTTTTGTGAAAATGAGACATACATGGTTTATTAATCTCTTTCTTTTTATCTTAGCTTCATGGAGGCAAGAGGGTAATGGAATGCTTAAAGAAAGCTCTAAAAATAGCAAATCAGTGCATGGACCCCTCTCTACAAGTGCAGCTTTTTATAGAAATTCTGAATAGATACATCTATTTTTATGAAAAGGAAAATGATGCGGTAAGTGAATTAGGAAGTGTCATTAGTTAACATTTTCCCTTTCTGCCCTAGAAGATTTAATGTATACAAAAGTTTATTGCTGGGTAGCTTCATTTTGTCTTTGAAAGTCAGAGTTTGCATTTTACCTGCTGGCTTTTTTCATTCATAGTTTACAGTCCTTCTGTCGGCAGAGATGTATCTTGAATCAATTTTTTTTTTTTTTTTTTTTTGTTGGTCATTGGGTTTGATCTCTGGGCCTGGGTGCTGTCCCTCAGCTCTTCAGTTCAAGGCAAGTGTGTTGCCACTTGAGCCATAGTGCCACTTCAAGTTTTCTGGTGGTTAATAGGAGATAAGAGTCTCATCGACTTTCCTATCTAGTCTGGCTTTGAATCACAATCCTCATATCTCAGCCTCCTGAGTAGCTAAGCTTACAAGCGTGAGCCACTGACACCCGGCCCATTTTATTTTTCTTTTACTGATTCATAGTACTCTGCTTTTTTATTTTATTTTTTTGTGGTGCTTAGGACCAAACTCAGGGCCTAGTACTTGCTAGGCAAGTGCTCTTCTACTTAACTAAATCCTCAACCTTGCTTTTCTGCTTTCAAGGTGTTTTTATTTTGCATAATAAATAGCCAGGAGTTGTTGCTCAAAGTAGCATGTTCTCCTTTTTCCTTTTTCATAATTACTCAGATAGTTGGTGAGAGTCATATATATTCTTATAGTACATGGAATTACCTTTTCGGGATACAGGCTTGATCATGAAATTATACATGTTCTTTTATAGGTAACTATTCAGGTTTTGAACCAGCTTATCCAAAAGATTAGAGAAGATCTTCCAAATCTAGAGTCCAGTGAAGAAACCGAGCAGATTAACAAACATTTTCATAACACACTGGAACACTTGCGCTTGAGGCAGGAATCACGAGAATCTGAGGGGCCAATCTATGAAGGTCTCGTCCTTTAAACAGCTCATACTCCTTTCCACATACATCCAGTAAGGGTTTATTAACTAGGTCTCCCTTCTATAGATTGTGCCTTTCAGAAATGCTGAGGTAGGTTTCCCGTTTTTTACTTGTGATGTGTTTTACCCAGCACCTCCGGACACTCACCTTCAGGACCTTAATAAAGTCATTCACTTTGTATGTGTTCAAGTCTGTCTGATCTCCCCAAGTAGCATGACTGATCTGCTATAAAACTCCCATGATCTGTAAAAAACAAAATCCACTTAACTTGGTTATTAATGAAACTCTCCTTGCTTTTTGTTTTGTTTCAATGTTGATTGTGTATTTTCTTCATTACCAGGAAATACTAACCCTAAAAAGTATCTGTCTCTGTTCTTTAGTCCTCTTTGAGATTAATTTAGAGGAAAGGAATACTGTTTGTGAGATTGAGCTTGGGCTTTTCCCTAAACGCAAGATAAGGCCATGTGTAACATTTTCCCTAAAAATAGAATATAATGCATGTTTGAGAAGTTTAAACCACCATGGTCAAAAGCAGAAGCTATATTTTGCATATTTGGACTCAGCCATTCATTAAGAACTTTTGTTGTCCTCTAGACCTATTTATCAGAAATAATTTGGTTCTAAATAGTATAAAATAGAAAATTTTGTGGTCTATATAATTTATGTATAACCATTACTGTAAATTTAATGGGAAATGAATCAAAATTATGATTTTTTTTTGCACCCAGTGAAACAATAAAGTTGCTATTAACAATTTTGGACTTTTCTTTTCATACTGTCTTAACTGAGCTGGATGCCAGTGACTATTGCTTGTAATTACAGCTTCTCAGGAGGCTGACATCTGAGGATCATAGTTTGAAGCCAGCCTGGGCAGGAAAATTCATGATATTCCTATTTACCGTTACCCTCAAAAAGCCAGAAGTGGAGCTGTGGCTCAAGTGGTAGAACTCTTTAGCCTTAAGAAAAAAAGCTCAGGGGCTGGGAAGGTGGCTTAGTGGTAGAGCGCTTGCCTTGCATGCCTGAGGCCCTGGGTTCGATTCCTCAGCGCCACATAAGCAAAAAGAAAAAAAAGCTGGAAGTGGCGCTGTGGCTCAAGAGCTAGAGTGCTAGCCTTGAGCTGAAGAGCTGAGGGACAGCACCCAGGCCCAGAGTTCAGGCCCCACGACCAGACACCCCCCCCCAAAAAAAA